CATCGTACCGTCGCCGGAGTAGCCTGCATCGTTCGAGACAAGATCGTTCACCGAAACGAGCAGCAGGGTCCACAGAAGCAATCATAACTGTAGAAAACTCAGCGGAAACACCACCAACAGTAGTTGACACAGTAGTTGACACAGTAGTTGACACCGTAAACACCATACTGTCCCTGTCATCGCAGTGTGGATTGGCGTCCGATGCAGAACAGTCCAGTCTTCAACCTGTGGCTACGCTTCAAGATCATGAAACAGTCGACTTCAGAGATCAGTTTCAAGACGGTCTAAACAGGACAGAGAGCTACGGCCGAAGCTTGCTATCGAAGGCCACTGCTTCGAGTATCATCAATGACACGGAGTCGGAGGCAGCGAAGGAGGAGGGTGCGCAACAACGCAGCGGACGTCAGATGCCAGTGCCATCGCAGCGTCGACCGTTAGGATGTCCGATTTGTCGCGAACCGCTGCGTGTATCGTCCCACGGTCTGCATCAACAATCCACGGTTGAGAGCATCCAGTCGCTGCTATTATTACAACATTTTATGCGCTCCGTGCCATTGGACGATTTCAAATTCTACTTCGGACAAATGGATGTCCACATTCAGCGCTGGTTGGCCAAGATCCCGCCAGCAAATGTAATGATTCCCGTAACAGAGTCGGTGGGCACTGCTACTGGGACCATACAAGTAGCAGATATTGCGTCGTCTTTTTCTTTTCAGAACTTTTTGGTTAGTCAGCCGCATACGAAGGCCGTCGCGGGGGTGACAAACCCTGGTCGTGAACAGATGGTGCTGCGGTGGTGTGCAGATCTGTTGTTGGATACTTTTTCTTCGCCTCGTGTGCAGCAAATTCTATTATCGACGACTGCAATTGTATTATCTGGTCAGATTCAGATTCAAGGCGTTGATAAACAAGGGGGTTCAGCGGCGCCCTGTAGGCTGTTTCGCGAGCTCATCTCTGACGTCACTGAGGAGATTTCGCGAATGCTGGTGGTACGTAACACCAATGCAGCAAACTCCTGTTATGACCTCCATTCTGGAAGACCCAATTCCCTGGCAGCACTCGTGGACGAGATTTTGACGTTGATCTACGCAGAACCAAAGTACCGACAGTTACGTGAATACGCATCCAAGCTATTGCTTGGGAAAGACAACATACTCGACGTCGCTGTGCATACCGCCTTCGGTGCATTTCTTTCTCAGTACTGTCAAACACACGATACCATGGATCTTGTACAGACATTGGGTGAGTGGAAATCAACCAGCGCGGGCATGTTTCCAGTTAATGGACGAAGATCGAATTTACCAACTGAATGTGGTTGGACCAGCCATACTGATCGTTTATTAGACATTGTAGCTGCTCGCTGGAATCGTCGTTGGTTTATGGTGCCCGCATCGGTCTTTATAACACCGCTTGCGTCGGACACGGATGCCTCCAATGCATCATTATCACTACTACTAACTGTGGCTC